TACTGATTTATACTACACTGCTTGATTTCTTCCTAAAATGTTGTATCGCTGCTTGATTTCTTTTAAAATGTTGTATAAATTCACAGTGTATCGCTGCTTGATTTCTATTGAATACTGATTTATACTACACTGCTTGATTTCTTCCTAAAATGTTGTATCGCTGCTTGATTTCTTTTAAAATGTTGTATAAATTCACAGTGTATCGCTGCTTGATTTCTATTGATTATTGAATACTGATTTATACTACACTGCTTGATACTACATTGCTTGATTTCTTCCTAAAATGTTGTATCGCTGCTTGATTTCTTTTAAAATGTTGTATAAATTCACAGTGTATCGCTGCTTGATTTCTATTGAATACTGATTTATACTACACTGCTTGATTTCTTCCTAAAATGTTGTATCGCTGCTTGATTTCTTTTAAATCAAATTCACAGTGACACAAAAACATGGCTAAAAATATCATGATTGATAAGGTGATTGGTGAAAGTGGAGCTTCTAATTCAAATGCCACATCACAATCTCAATCAGTTCAATCGAAAGCAAAAAAACAAAGAAAAAAGAGGTCTGTTGCATGGGAATATTTCGACCAAATTATTGATCCGGAAGGAAATCAAAAGGGTGTTTGTAAACATTGCAAAAGAGAATATTTTGCCGATTCAAAAGATAATGGTACGAAATCACTCCTTACACATATGGCCAAGTGTTTAAAAATGCCTTTAGATGTTGCAAAAAGTCAATCAAAACTTGGCTTTAACCCTATTCCGGGGGGTAATAAGGGTGATGTAGTCGTTGTTCCTTGGAAATTTGATCAAGAACAATGTAGGAAGGCTTTGTGTCGTATGGTGATCGTTGATGAACTTCCTTTCAGCTTTGTTGAAAAGGAAGGTTTTATGAATTTTATGAAAGTTGCACAACCTTTTTTTTGAATTCCTTCACGTAGAACTGTGACTCGGGACTGTTTTGATCTTTTTAATGATGAAAAACGTAAGTTGGTAAAGCTTTTTAAAGATTAGAGAGTTTGTCTTACCACTGATACTTGGACTTCCTTACAACGAATAAATTATATGTGTATTACTGTTCATTGGATTGATAGTGAATGGAAAATGCATAAAAGAATTGTCAACTTTTGTCCAATTTCTAGTCATAGGGGGGAAGATATGGCAAATAGTATTGTTAATTGTTTGAAAGAGTGGGGGTTACAAAAGATTTTCACTGTCACAGTTGATAATGCTAGTTCAAATGATGTGACGGTGAAGGAGCTTTCTAAGAAGTTAACTAAATGGGGGACCAATTCTATGAATGGTAAGCACCTTCACGTGAGGTGTATGGCTCATATTATGAATCTTGTTGTTCAGGATGGTATAAAAGAATCAATTGTGTCTATTGAACGTATTAGGCAAGCAGTGAGATATATCAGGCAGTCTCCTGCTAGGTGGAAAAAGTTTCAGGAATGTTGTGATGAAGGAAATCTAGTTAGGAAATCTTTATGTTTGGATGTTCCTACAAGGTGGAATTCTACATACTTAATGTTGAACAGGGCTATTGAATATGAGAGTGCAATTTTAGAATATGTTGATCATGATATTGGCTTGTCACATCATCTTGAGTTTGTTGATATTGTAAATGGAAGTCCTGCAGGTACACTTTTGAGTAGTGATTGGGAGGATGTAAAGAAATTGACAAAATTTCTTGAAATCTTTTATAAGCTTACTGTAAAGGTATCTGGCTCACTTTATGTTACATCAAATCATCATTTTCTTGAAATTTGTGAAGTTGCTGTTTACTTGAAACAATTGATATTAAATGAAGATGTTTTGTTGGGTTTAATGGCAAAGAAGATGAAGGAGAAATTTGATAAGTATTGGGGTGATCCAGAAAAAATGAACAAAATGATTTTCATTTCATGTGTTTTGGATCCTCGGTACAAGTTTGATTCTGTTAGTTTTGCACTTGCGAAGATGTTCAAAGAGAAAGGGCCAATTATCGCGAAGGGAGTACATACATACATGACTTTATTGTTTGATGAGTATGTAAAGTCTTATTCAAAAGATAAAGTTTGTCGTCCCTCTTCATGTTTATTAACTCTTCATTGGACACAATGGAAACTTCAAATGGATCTTTTGGTTCTTTCTTTGAAGAATTAAAAAGACATAAAGCTGGGATTGGAGGTTCAAATTCTAAATCAGAATTGGAAAAATATCTAACAGAAGAAGTTGAAAATGAAATAGCAGACGGTAATATATTGCTTTGGTGGAAAGTAAACTCACCTAGATTTCCCATTCTTGCTGAGATGGGTCGGGATGTATTATTTATTCCTATTTCAAGTGTTGCATCTGAATGTGCATTTAGCACTGGAGGGCGTATTCTTGATTCATTTAGGAGTTCATTGACTCCTAAATTGGTGGAAGTTCTCTTGTGCCTTCAAGATTGGCTTCGAAGTGAGCCATTACCTGTAAGTGTTGAGGAAGATTTAGATGTTCTCGAGCAACTAGAACAAGGTAGCAATATTTTAATTTGTTTGATTGTATATTATTTTTATATATAGTTTATTTAATATTTTTATTGTTTGACTTGTTAATATATATTTTCATAGATTTTGCCAATCTTGGAAACGAACCGTGCGATGATGATATGTAGAATCTTAGATAGTTGTAAGTTAAAACTTTGGTAAGTTAATTATTCAACTTATATGTTATACATAGTATGATTACAAATATTACTTGCTTAATATATTTTCTTGTTATGGTGTGGGCAGGTAAGAGTGTAGTTACAACCGGTAGGAAGATAATTGGAGCAACAAATCCGTTGGAGTCTGCTGCTGGCACCATTCGTGGTGATTATGCTATTGACATTGGGAGGTAAAACATCTAATTTCCCATTTTAGTGTTTGCTATAACGTACATTTGTCTCCTAACACCATGTTAAAACTCAGTTGACAACTTCTTTGCTGAATGATGTTATGTAATTCAGTTGACAACTTCTCTGTTAATGATTTTTCACCAAAGTCATAGTGCTGAGCAATTGAGCATTGCAACAGAAAATGGCATTTGTGCCAAGTTCACCTTTTCTTTTATGGCTTCGTTGATAGCCACAATTCTGTTGAGAGCGCTAAGAAGGAAATTGCTCTTTGGTTTCCTGAAGGTGTCGCGCAGTGGCAGAGCAGCCTTCACTCTTGGATGTATGAGTAAAAGATATTATGAGTTAACTAGCTTATTGGTGCCCTTTTTTTTAAGCTGCAACTTAAGAAATTTTACATATGTTTGAGTAGAAACATAGTTGCTTCAGACTTGTTTCCATTTGCTATTTCAGAAGACTAAGAGTCCATGCCTCGACTTTGTGGTCTCAAAGCTATCTCACATGTTTGGAGTGACTATGAAAGGATTGAAGAGGTGATGATGGATGGTGGAAAGTAAGATGTAGTTATTGTCATCTTGTTTTATGTATTATGTTTGGACTTTGGACAATTGGACTTGTTAATCCTAAGGTTGATACTACTTTGCATTGTTATTAATGTGTTTGAACTATTACTTTGGAGTTTGGACATTACTGTGTATACATCTGTTTTTGGGTTGTGAAAGTTGGGATCTTTTTATCTCCTATTTTTGTTAGATTGGAATTTGAGTTGTTTGCATTTTGTATGCACAGGCAATTGAGGTACTGCCGTACTGGGTATGTTTAGTTTGAGGCAAAAAATGTACAGCTTTGTGTGCTGAAATTATTCAGTGAGAAGTTTAACTTTAAACTGAAATTATTGTGAGAAATGTTAGTTTTATGTGCAGCTTTGTGTGCAGTTTTCTGTTATCATATTTTTTTTATGTGTCGTTATTAGTGTTCAATATAGCAGCTGTAGTTTGATTCTTGTTACTCAGCTGTAGTTTATCTTGAAGTGTCATATATAGCAGCTTCCACTTCCAGTAAACTTTGTACAAAATTTACTTTGTATAATTATTAGCGTTTCAGCAATCAGCAATCTTAGTTTTAGTTTTACCTTATCGGGTAAACCGATAACCGAACCGATAATGATCAATAACCGATTAACCGATAACCGATAACCAATATCTTATCGGTTTCGTTATCAGGTTATGATATTTGTAAACTGATAACCGATAGGCAAAACCGATAATATTGAAAACCGAACCGAACCGACCGATGCCCACCCCTACTTATGAGAGTTAAACATCCACTATATTATTCGTTTGTGATTATTTTTGTGCGTGGTTTGTCTAACGGGTCAGGTTAGGTGGCATCACGGTCTTAATGAAATTTTGGATCGTGACATTATAATTGCTCCCACTTGAGTTCATAAACGTCCAATTAGTCACCAGCTATCCTTAGCATTTAAGCCAAGGGGACACCTACGCTTGTTCCACTCACATGCAAACCTATCCTTAGCATTTGCTCTTGAAAGGATTATACACAATTACACAATGTTTCTTACTATGATATGTCTGTGGGGACCCTACACCATCCTCTTGCCAAAGTGCCAACAAGAAAATTTGCTTCTTAATTGTCTCTATAACTGTAGATTATATATATGACTTAGCACACCACTGTATATAAGTAATGTCCCGATCACTTTCTAGTAATCAAATAGATAAAGCTTTTCCGTTTCTTAAATCTTTCACTTTCCTTTATTAGATTCTTTCTCTTCCAATGGCAGATATGAGTAAGTAGATGTGTTTTATGGCTTTGTTTCAAAGCATTTTTCTCTACATGTGAATCTTAGATCATCCCACTAAGTAATAAAGAAACATATCCCTTTTATTAGAATATAATATAATATTTTATCTATTTGTTCCAAATATTCTTGCAAAGATATAGTATACTGGATAATGGCATCACAACTNATATATATATATATATATATATAAGAAGAAGATTATGAAGTACTCTAGAGATAATAAAATAGTAAGAGCTGTTCAAATGTAATGCTCAGATGACAAACAGAAATTATAATTCCCAACGTAGGAAAAGATTAGAGCAGTATGACGGTTAGATCTCAAAGCACTGACTGACTATGCTATATATATATTATCTACAACAATTTAGAAAAAAATTAACAAAAACAAGTTTCATATGTCATCTTGCCATTCATTCTAGCCCTTCTACACATATTATACATGACAGCAAAACATAATAGCCAACTCTCAGTCCTTCAGACATGAAAGGAGACAGCTGAATTATTTTGGGACTCAGAATGTGTAAAGTTCACCTAGTTAGAGTGGTAAGAACATAAGCAAGCTAGAGGGAACGTGGTGTAGTCGATGAACAAAATAATTACAGTCGAGACAGCAACAATCTTGACCCCTTTCTGGAATGAAGTTGATCGTGTGCTCTAGAAATCGTCAAGTCCCAGCCTCTCCAGCGCACTTAGTTAACAAAAAGTTACCACGTTCCTCTTTCTCTGGCTGATAAATTGGTGAAGCAGCAGAGTATTCGGCTTTCCATGTCCAGCTTCGTTGATAGGAAACGTTGAAATCCTCTCCCCAGACAACCATACAATGTCACCAAAACAAGGAAATAAGGCTCCTTTCATCCCCTCGCACGATAACTTAACCAGTTTTGCCCAATTTAATATGGATCCTTCAGTTTCCTTATGTGTTGGGTAATAAGTAGTGCAATCAAAAGCTTCTGGTCTCGTCAAGTGGGTCATAATCATAAGCATCACCAGCCTTGACAAACCGTCCCTTCACACGCCTTCTGACATCAGCCCTTGCCTTGCGGGAAGCATATCTCACATGCTTGTCAAATCTGCACATTAGAAAAGACAGTTAAAAGAGATGTACTAAGAAAATATACTAAAAACCAAAAATTAGAGCAAATAAATGTGGACAAAATTTCTTGACTAATGAGTGTATGTGGGAGAATATGATTTCTGAACAAAGCAAATTAGATGAGAAATAAGATGCCCAAATTAAGAGAAGTATTGGTGCCGGCTGTGAAAATAGAGCTTGCACAATCCATGCAATAACCTTGCATGATAAATTCTAAGGAATCCATACACAATTATTAAGAACATCATTTTTTCTGGTCTGAAATAAAGATATTAACCACTGCTGAAGTTTAGGTGGTTAGTACAAGAGAACTTACTTGCGTGTCTTCTTCTTTTCCTTGTAGCGCAATACAGCATTGCTTCTGCTACTTGACGGCAATGAAGTTTCAGGAAATGGATGGTACCACGGTGGTTCTCCCATAAGAAGCATTGTGGAGGCTCCACATTCTTGGTAATCCCCGGCATTGCTCTCTCCCCCGAGGTTTGAAAATGAGAGGATGGATGCTTGCCTCGCAAAGCAAATGGAAGGTTCTGTTTTGCAGCTCACCAGTGAGTCTGCGGACTCGGCATTGCTACATGCTGGTTGCATTGTCATTACCCTTCGAATCGATGCCCCCTGGTAAATTATTCGTTGAGCCAAGTCCATGCATATTTAGGTATGATTAGATAGATTTTTATCATGAAAAAAGCAAGAATAATCACAGACGAAGTGGTTGACACATCAGATCATATGAAATGGATTGTAAAAACATAATTCACTCATAAAACAAGAGATAAATGTTTACGTTCCATGTAGCAGAAGACCCACTATAAGTTGGCAACCAAAAAGACATCAGCAGCAAAGAGATAAAGTACATATGTTTTAGAGTACTTTGTCACAATTAAAGATTAAGAACCAGAATCAAAAAGTCTGCCCTATAGCAGAGTAATGCATCAGATGACATACTCATTAGACATTCAAAGAGACAATTAACGAAATCCAGATGAAAAATGCACATTTGACTTTCCATAAATAAAAGGAATATATCTTTAAGTGGTATTACTAAATCCTATAAAAACCAGTTTAGGTTCCTGATGGGTAGTCCAATATGAACACAGATGCTGGGCCTTATTTCATACCCCGCTGGAGTTAAATCGAAACATGGGCGGAACTAAAACTACCTTGCCTTGGCCCAAAGTTTTCATCAGTATCAGCTCCTGATACTTGAGAACTTATAAAAGAAAAAAGAATTTCATAGGAAATATCTTAAGAATCACTTCCATCCCTAGAAAAGAATATGAATTAGGGAGAGCTAAATTCACTACAGGGTGTATAATACTCTCAAATCTACTATCCAAATTGAATATTCTATCAGCTCCTGTCCATGACAAATTTTCAATTCCTTTGTTAATAGCCAAGACATTAACCTATAACCAGTATAAATTCACAAAATGCACCCGCGCACAATATTTGACTTTGCCCTATTTATGATGCATATAACAAAGTTTAAGACATCAAGGAAGGGAACACCTAAATGAAGCAACTTAAAGAAAAGTGATGACAATTCATAAATTAGGACCAAAAGGGGACGAAGAAAGCATGCATCACACAAATATCAGAAATAAACAGTAAGTAAAATGATACACTCACTACTCTATAACTCAAACTATAGTAGACACAATTTATAGTTCGTGATCCACCTAATAGTATTAATGATAGCAAACCTTGTGCATCAAATCCTAATATTGTTAAAGTATATATCAATATTGAAGTTTATGCACGACAGATAATGGATACACAATGCAACTTAATAGTAAGAACCACCTCGATAGCATCGGCATCCTGGCAGCTGGAACCAGAAACTGACATATCTTTCGTCCCAAATAAGCCATTGATGTCCTCATTCTCAAAAAGCTGATTTGGATTATCGAGAGAGCCACTGAATAGCTCTTCATAATTTTCAAAACTCAGGTCCACTTCATCCATATTGAAATCTTGAGCGAAAGGATCATCTTCAAATATCATTGAGCCTTTCATTCCAGTATAGCAACCCTGTGTTTCAACAACAATAACAGCATAAGCAACTTCCGAGAAGTATAGGGTCAAACGATTTGGAAGCACTAAGGTCAACACATATTGTGGATAACCATAGTCAACTTTAACATACTAAAATGATGCAGTGCAACCAAATGCTTGATGGAGAACATGGAATTCTCGTCAAAGGAAGAAGAAAACATCATAGTTTAGAGCTCATCTTTCTCTATGGATTTGACCTCTTAGAAGTTCACTAGTCTCAGCTAGTGTTACAGAAAGAACTGGGCATTGGCAAATCAAAACTCAAATTTGTTGCAACATTCCTGAGGAACATCAAGGTGCAAGAAACCTCAGCTTCACGAGCCAAGCAAGTGGTTGACTAACTTATCAGTTGTCATTGCTATCTAATCCAACTCCGGGATACTAAAAGTGGCAGATTCAGGAATTCTAACAAGGCAATTCCAACAAAAAATGATACTATATGAACTTGCAACCTAAAGCAATTTTTCAGATATATATATATACAAGAATTTATTTATACCCTATTTATACAGTGTAATTTTCGTCGGGATTCAATTGAACCCCATTCTGACAATGTAGCTGTCCCAGGATACTAAAATTGACTACTCATTTTCGCAACATATCAGCAAGATTCTTCACTTTGAACCATGACATATATTTGAAAACCTAGATTACCTTTGATGAAGAGTAATTCTTGGACCCAGCATATAGCTCCAGCTTGTTTTGCTTGTTGTCAGGAGTAGGTAAAGAGGATTCAATGAGAGTGGTTGATTTCTCTGATGAAGTATGCAACTCACTCATTTCAATTGCAGCAGACACGTCTTGAGAGTTGTTCTTTCCTTGAGGATCTTCGTTATCCCTAGGTTGGTTATCGGTGATACTCATTGCACCCATTCCTTTCTGACAAGTCGAATCACCATCTAAGAGAAATGACCAGATAGTAGAAAGTTCTGCAGCGGAAGGACATCCTGTATAACAACTAAGTGCTTGCCTCTTATGCATGGAACCTGTAGCATGACTAATCGAATCACAGTTCTTGCAAAGAGATATCTTCTCCTCGACGCGTCTAACAACAGCTGGTTGTGAATTACATCTTTCGCATAAGAGTGTCCTGGAATGTCGCTGTGAAAGGGCATTGGCAGAATGCACATTGCGATCACACGACAAACACAAGCAAGCTGCATCAGACCGGCAATATACAATTGACCGCTGCTCCCCACAGAATTCACATATATGACCCATCACTCTTCCTCAATAATCTTAGATAAAACCAGTCTATAAATCTTTATGCCTCCAACAAAACTATAAGCACTAGAAGTTGCTTCCTAGTTGAGCACATACAGATTGTTCAAGTGATCTGGTCCTTCTGCCGTATAAGGGAATAGAATCTGCATTTCCAAAAGCCAAACGAAAAAGAGATGACTTAAGATAGAATACAGGTCTAATTTTCATATCTGAGATGTTTGAAAATTCACCTTCAAGAATTGAAATTGAGATATTGTTAACACAAAATTCCATTTGAAATAGAACAACTGGCTGTTAAAGAAATTAGAGAACGCGAGGTATAAATGATGCTACTTCAATCATAAAAGGTGAAAGATGCTAAAACATTAGAACCAAGAATCCAAACACATAGTTGTAGGTGATTTATTTCTAAGCATCATTATCACAAATCTATCAATCAATCTCTCTCAATTCCAAACAACTTGAGGTCAACTTTATGAATCTTTTTCCTATTTTCTCTATTCAGGTTGAGCATCCAAAAGACTCATCATAGCTAAATATAATTACCTTTTGCTCTGGCCTCACCTACCACAACCGTCCTCCTTTATCAAGATGTGAGCTTGGACCACTTATATTATATGAGCTAGGGGTAAAAACACCATTAGCTAAGACAACCACAAATTCTTTCAAAATTTTCAACCAAAAAAAAAGCAGAAAATTCAGTAAGAAAAGGGGGGAGAAATTGAACCAACAAGGAAAAAATTCCAATCATTAGGAATACCATCAAACAAAGGAACATAAGTCAAGCTGCAGAAGTCTACATAATAACCAGAAAACTACTTAAAGAATACATGAAAGAGCACTCATATCCAAACTACTGTATGACTTGCAACTGGTATACAGCAAAATTCTAAAATGAATCTTGAAATTATGAAAAAACAGTCAACTTCTCAGCGACCCACAAACAGATCAAACAACAAAAACAACACAATCCCAGATGAAGAATAAGCAACCCTTTTACCTGATATAACTGTGAAGCTAACCAAAAAAAGATTTTTAAGTTTGTACACGAGAAGCAAGTTATAGATAAGCTCCCTTTATTGCTGCAGCTTTTAGACAGTAAAACAAAAACCTCTGAACAAGAAAGATCGACCTTTTTCCGGAATATCTGGCTCTGTGTGTGTGTCTGTGTGTGTTAAGGGTAAGGATTGGTTCTTTTGGGAAGTCTCTGAGGATTGTATGCTGTTGAATAGTTGAGTTTCTGATAACAATTAAAATATCAAAAAGCTGATAAAAAGTGCAGAGGGAAATGGACAGGGGGTAAGAGGTGTAAAATGTGGGACCCTGTCATCCTGTCCCCACTATAAATGGCACACAACAATATCTACACTTTTATTCTAGCTTTTCCTCCTACTCTTTTTAGTTTAACTTCTTAGCTTTACAAACAATACTCCCTCCGTTTCAAGGTAGATTAGGTAATTAGATTAAAGAAAAAAAAAATTGAAATTTGTGGTCTTAAAATCTTAAAGAGTAAAAACTTTATAGGGTCATAATATTTGTGTGATTGTAAAAGCTTCTCATTAAGGGTAAAATGTGTAAAATGAGGAGTTTAAAGTTGGATTATTTCCAAATTTAGAAATGTATCATTTATTTTGGAATATATTAAAAAGAAAAGTAGCTCATCTAATTTAAAAGAGATGGAGTAATTTTTATATAAATCTTAACTATTACTCCCTCCGTTTCAATTTACATGAGTTAGTTTAACTCGGTGCGGAGTTTAAGGAAAAAAAGACTTCTGAAACTTGTGATGTTAAAAGCTTTGTGGGGCCATGATATTTATTTGGTTATAAAAGCTTCTCATTAAGGGTAAAATGGATAAAATGAAGAGTTTAAAATTGAATAATTTCCAAATTTAGAAATGTGTCATTTATTTTAAAACAAACTAAAAAAGAAAATACCTTGTCTAATTTGAAACGGAGGGAATACTAACTGATAATAACTTGATAGAAATGATAAGTAATTTACTATCCCAGGTTAAATTATAAGCAATTTTGGTCGCTCAAAATCTTTGGTCTTTATCCGGGCCCGATGAAAAAAATGGGATCACTTCTTATGGAATCGTTGAGAATGATTATGATCTAGTTCATGGCCTATTATAAGTAGAAGGCTCTCTGGTGGGATCTTCACGGACAGAAAAAGATTGTAGTCAGTTTGATAATGATCGAGTGACATTGCTTCTTCGGCCCGAACCATGGAATCCCTAAGATATGATACAAAATAGCTCTTATTCTATCCTTGATCAATGATTTCTCTATGAAAAATATGAATCGGAGTTTGAAGAAGGGGAGGAAGAAGGAACCCTTGACCCGCGNTAGATATGATGCAAAACGGCTCTTGTTCTATCCTTGATCAGAGATTTCTCTATGAAAAATATGAATCGGAGTTTGAAGAAGGGGAGGGAGAAGGAGCCCTTGACCCGCAGGAGGATTTATTCAATCACATAGTTTGGGCTCCTAGAATATGGCGCCCTTGGGGCTTTCTATTTGATTGTATCGAAAGGCCCAATGAATTGGGATTTCCCTATTGGTCCATGCCATTTCGGGGCAAGCGGATCATTTATGATGAAGAGGATGAACATCAAGAGAATGATTCGGAGTTCTTGCATAGTGGAACCATGCAGTACCAGACACGAGATAGATCTTCCAAAGAACAAGGCCTTTTTCGAATAAGCCAATTCATTTGGGACCCTGCAGATTCACACTTTTTCCTATTCAAAGATCAGCCCCCTGGCTCTATGTTTTTACATCGAGAATTATTTGCAGATGAAGTGATGTCAATGGGGCTTCTTACTTCCCAAACATATCCTCCTACATCTATATATAAATGTTGGTTTATCAAGAATATACAAGAAAAGCACTTCAAATTGTTGATTAATCATCAGATATAGCATAGAACCAATAGTTTATTATCTAATGAATTTTTCCGTTCTAATACTCTATTCGAGAGTTATCAGTATTTATCAAATATGTTCCTATCTAATGGAACGCTATTGGATCAAATGACAAAGACATTGTTGGGAAAAAGATGGCTTTTCCCGGATGAAATGAAAATTAAATTCATGTAATAGGAGAAAGATTTCTCCATTCCTTAGCCGGAATGATATGTGGCCATGAAAGATGGATTAAGTGGAACAGAATTGACTAAGTGATAGAGTTGTGGAAACGCTTGTTTCTTCCATATTTTTGGACCTTAGCTCCATGGAAGAATATGTTACTATTGAAACACGGAATAATTGAAATCTTATATAAAACACTATGTATGGACGATATGAACTGCCTAAACAAGAATTCTTGAACATCAAACAACCAGTTCAGATATTCACGACCAAGAAGTATTGGATTCTTTTTTGGGATGGCACTTAGAGGAGAAAGAAGGCTGGAATGCCAATAGGTATCTATTATATTGAATTTACCCGATAGCTCCCATTTTGGGAACGTCCAGTGCCAAAGTCACTGAATGGGTAAGTTGCCAATCCCTAGATTATGTAATGCACTTTATCTGCAGGGTTACGGGCGAGCATTTTACTAGAGGTTTCTAATCTACCCTTTTGTGATTCATGTTAAAGCATATACTCAGGGGAGGGGGGAGAGGGGTGATTTTAAAGCGGACTCCCTATTCATTAGATAGAGAAGATCATCAAGATTTCGCGATCCGCTGCCAAATTTATTCCAGTTCTAAGAGCTCAGATCGAATCGGTATTGATATACCAATTCGATCCGAGCTCTCTTATTGAGAATGTTCATTCAATGAGCATTCTCAATATTATGCCTTGAAGAGGACTCGAACCTCCACGCTATTTAGCACGAGACTTTGAGTCTATCGTGTCTATCATTTCACCACTAAGGCATCTTGAAAGTGAATAGTATTCCATGAATATGATATCTATCTAGTGTGATGTATGGAATATATGACAAAGGTGGATCTATTTATCGTTCATGTCATATAGGCCCGAGTTGGGCATCCAATTCCTTCGATTTGAATTATCAGGAGAATGTAATGCCTGATATATATCAAAAAGATGGACAATCAAACCTATTTCTCGATTCACTCAAAGAGGTGAATAGGGTCCCAATAGAGATATGTAAAAAGTAGGTCCGATTACGCGTATTCTTAATCCTAAATGGAACGTAATGATGTAGGAATCCATATGTAAACATGNATCCATATGTAAACATAGTATCTATTTAGATATGCCCGAATGACCCCTTCTCATAATGAGAATGTATATAACCCTATTCCGGCCCAGTCCAGTATGGAATGAACTTATAATCATGGAATCGACTCAATCATCAGATTATAAGTTCATAACCCTAGCTCATTCTCATTTTTGGTGGAACATATCTATTAATTCTTTGATTCCAGTTAGTAAGAGGGATTTTGAACTAAGAAATAGACCCTAGAAGCTAAAAAAGGCTATCCTGAGCAATTGCAATAATTGGGTTCATTGATATTCCTGGTATAGTAGATGCTATCACACATACAATCATACTCAATTCGATGGAATTGTTTGATCTTAAAGGGGATCTTCTATAATTTCGCACGTGAGGGGTTATTTCTTGATTTCGTCCGGTCATTAATAACTTTATTATTTTTGATAATAGTAGATAGAACAACGCTTGTAAGGAGTCCTATTAAAATCAAGAAATATAGGCCTGCCTGCCATCCACACCAAAATTAATAGAGTTTTTCGAAAAAAACCTGTTTGTGGAGAAAGACCTCCTGGGGATAAGAAACATAGGGCTAAGGAGAGAGCCAAAAAAAAGATGTACTCCTTTTTTGTAAGTGTATTTTGTGTATCTTTTATCAAGTGTATTTTGTGCATTTGTAGCAAGAGTACATTTCTTATACCATTTTAACGTTTTGGTATCTAGTCTAATGATTTTGTAACATAAAAAATTGAATTTCTTTTTCAAATCTAACCACTATTAGCTTCTTCAATTTTCCTTTATTTATCTTCACTTAAACTAAATAAATTCACACTTAATAACTCTATTGCAAAACGTGTAGGATATTTACGTGGAAGTCATGTAGCTAGAATTAGATGAAAAGATAGGTAGGTAGGTGAAGTGTAGGGCTAAGTGGTTCCCGCTATTTCAATATAGGCATGTGATAGCTAAATTAGAGTTAATTACCCTAACAGGAAAGAGTAGTATTCTTAAGAAGATAATTTGATTTTCCTATTAGCATATGTATATTTTCTCCGAGTATAACTTCTATAAGAATTGATGGTTCTTATAGTACGCCAATCCTTATAGTAGCGAATTAACTTTTGCGTTCGCAAGAAAATGAGCGATCGAGCGGCCGAACACATCACCAATTGAGCTATAATCACTTGAAATATAGCGTTATTCAATCACCAAATTGAATATTGCGTTGCTTGTGGTCGAGACTACCATGAAAATATGCCTATTACTCTTTTTTGATGATTATAAAATCTCATAGCTTTCTCAATCTTAATCAAAGCTATGGAAGAAAAACTAAGTTGTAGTTGCTATTGCCAAATCTGAATCCTAATTAATTCGTATTCCTCATTCTTAACACAATTGAATGTTACGAGCTTGATAGCATGTTTGGCCAAGTTTTTCCAAGCTGAAAAGTACTTCTTTTTTTTAAAAAAAAAATTCCCAAAATTGAAGTGTTTGGCCGAGCTTTTAGAAGAAAAAAATGTACTTTCTTAGAAGCTTTGAGAAAAATACACTTAGAAGTACTTTTTAAAAACCTGACCAAACTTTAATTGTTGCTTATACGTGTTTTTCAAATTAATTAACCAAATACAAACTGTTTTTCACCAAAAGTACAATTGGAAAAAAATACTTTTGAAAAAAAACACTTTTAAAAATAAGCTGAATTTTTCCAGCTTGGCCAAACAAGCTATGAATTTCCATCGTTTGGTGATGTCGCACCTACTTCTCCATTAAGCGTTAAAGAAATGAAAGAAAGAACAATTCTATTACCTTTTCACTATGATCTTTCTTTATAAGAATTTAAATTCTTCTGGTTAGTGCTGACATATACTAAAACGCACGGTTTAAGTCTATAAAACTTTACGTTTAGATGTGAGCCAATTTTAAAACTTGAAGTTTCAAAAATAGTTTGCTTACTTAAACAGTAAGTTTATTTTTAAGAATTAACACAATTTTTCAGTTTTTTGAGGACATGATTACTGAAAACTTTTATTTGTTGTTTGGTTCTAGACGTTTATAAAGAAATAAATACATACCA